CACAGAACCCACATGGCTTGACAGAGCCACTGTTCAGTGTTTTGGAAATGTATCTTTTGACTGTTGGGAAGGAAATTGGCTACTTAAGATGCCTTTTTGTACATTTAAATTAACTTGGTCCATCAGACTGAATAAATCCTGCCGCTGTATTAACATCCAATTATAACAACAGAGATTGAGCAATGATTCAGGTTTTGACCAGAATGTTGGCAGTTTAAGGGGAAAAAGAAGCAATGTATATTGAAATAAAAAAGTCAAAAATGGGAGCCAGAAAATTATGACTGAGCACATAGCAGGAGCTTTTGTGAATGTATAATGGCAGAAGCAGGAGCCAAATTTCTAACAGGATTATCTGTTACTGTCTACCAGATCCAAAAAAACTCAATCATTTTGTTTTAAATGACTTTTTGTAACTCATTCATACTAGAAATAGGGAGGGGAAGGGAGGCTGGGAGCTGGAGAATCTGCAGTTTGGAATTTAGGCAGGATCAGAGGTGAGGGTGAAACACCCTGAAGGAGCAGTTGAGCTCTGAACCATTCAGCACTTTTCAGATTTTCCCAGATTTTTAAGATTTCCTTGTGAGCCAGAAACTCATGGATGATTTCTTTTGGGGACCAGTAAATGAATGTGTTGATGAGGTGAAACAGCTCTTCAAATCCTGCTGCAGCCATGGCAGCTGGGCCTGCTCGTTGTTCCCTTTCTGCCCTTGAGAAGGACGTGAGATTCACCTTCCCCTTGTCCAGCCCTGGCTCTGGGATTGCATCTCACTCTGGGTCAGAGATCATCTGTCCCTCTGCTCAGCTATGGACAGATCTTTGGAAGCACAGCAGCTCCTGGATGTCCACCAGGTGTGTGCACAGGCATTTTAAAGGACCTTACCTTCATATCTTCAATATTCCAATAAACTCAGGGCCTAAATATGTTGTATTTAATGACCTGGTGCTCACTGAGCAGGTGTTACCTGAACTTCCTCCCCAGACTTGCTCAGATGCCATTAACCCACACCTTCAGAGACTTTGAGATAGCTCCTCCTTCTGCTGCTGAGACCTCCCTTTCTGCTTCAGCTCTCCTTGATAAAATGGAGAGATGTGGGGACAGAATCAGGGAATATCCTGAGTTGGATGGGAGCTGTGAGGATCATCCAGTCCAGCTCCTGGCCCTGCACAGACACCCCAACAATCCCACCCTGTGCACCCCCTGAGAGCATTGTCCAAATGTTTCTGAAGCTCTGGGAGCCTTGGGAATGTGACCATTCCCTGGGCAGCCTGTTCAGTGCCCACCACCCTCTGGGGAGGAACCTTTTCCTGATATCATATATTTTCCTGATATATGGGATATAAGCCCTGAGAACAACAGCAGTCTGTTCTTACATCCATATATTGCTCTGGCACAGTGAGGCTAAAAATATCAGTGAAGCTGTGACCACTGCAGGAATATAAATTAAATATAAATTCCTTCAAACTGGCTCCTAATGCCCCAAAATGAAGGACACTTTCCTTTTCTAGTCCTGCTGAATCCCTGGTTATATCTGGACAGCACTCTCAGACACGTGGTGGATTCTTGGAGTCCTGTGCAGGGCTAAGGATTGAACTTCAATGATCCTTGTGGCTCCCCTCCAGCTCAGGACATTCCAGGATTCTGTGATATTTGCCACAAAATGTTGAATCCAGGTCTCACTACCATGAAGAACCAGGGGTAGGGACCCTCACCAAGGTTGGAAAATAGCCTTGAAGAGTTTGTCAGGCTTCCCAGGGATGGAGAAGGGGTGGAAGGAGTAACCACAGCCATGGAGGTTTCCACCTCCAGCACTGCCTGGTCTCTCCATCCAAGTGAATGCTGGCAAGGCTCTGTAGCTGGGAGGCTGCATGGACTTCCCTTTTGCTGATGTTTTAGTGGCAGCACAAAAAGCTTGCTGTTCCCTGGAGGGACACAGTCAGCTCTCAAACCCTTCAACGTGGAAAGCTGAGCTGAATTAATTACAGTTTATACTCCAAAAAGGAAAATAAGACCTCTGATGTGCCTTATTTGCTTGATGTTCTTCCTCTTTTCAGCAGATGACCCTCAGGTGGCATTTCTTTCACTTGCAGCTCCTTTGTTTTGTTTTTTTTTTTGTGTGGTTTCTTTCTGCATTAATTGGAAGGTCTGACACTTCCAGCCCAAGACATTTATCAGCATGGTACAGTTTTAATTAATCTCACAATAAAGCTGCTAGAGGTGAACTCGTGAAAGGACTTTTAGGGCAGGAATAATGCACTCAGTGACACGGGACACACTCTGGTGGGATTGATGGGATTTGGGATGCAGGAAGCTCGTGGCACATCCCTGTGGGCTCTGCAGCACAAGGCAGGTGTGCTCCTGAAAACAACATATATCCCACAAAGTGTACCCAAACACACTGAAAAGAAAACATTCCTGCAAAGATGAAGATCTGGGTTCCCAGTAGGTTCCTCCTGCCACTGGGACAGGCTTGGATATCCTTTGATGGCTAATTAACTAATAAGAATAAAACATACAGAGCACCTTTTATCTACTCTTTTTATAGCAATTTACCAAGAAATGGCAAATTTCAGTCCTCTAGGACATCTTTCTTTTACCCATATCACAGCCACAAGTGGATTTTGACTCTGAACATTCAAGCCAGGATCACCAGGTGTTGGAAAAGTTCATTTTCTGATCTAAACTTCTCAACCAAAGCTCACTTCTATCAGGCAGGTGCAAACTGGCTCAGAAGTGAGGCTGGATGGAACTATCTAGAGCTAATGAGGATAAATCAAGCAGCACCATATGTCAAACTGAGGGTGGTTTGGGTGGGAACTGCAGAGCCAAACCCAACTGTGCTCACAAAATTCTAATTACCAGGTGGGAATTGCATCTGGATTGAGGAATGGCAGATTTAGAGTCTTTGAAAGCTAAATTTTCTGCTCCTTCAAGTCCTCTGGTGGCCACAGTGTAGCCATGGCCAAGCTTGATGTGATTGGCATAAAATAACTCACAGCATATTTTATTCTGGTGGAAATTAGAGGTGGGAATGGCTGACATAATAAAATATAATGTCTCCACCTTCTTGTAAAAAGATTTATGTGTTTTTGGAATTTGGATTCAGCACAGACTATTGGCTTCAACAAGTTTAAATGAGTGAAATTCTGAGGCATAAAATTTATTCTTCATGAATAGGTGGTGACTGCTTGATGAGAAGCTTAAGGAAGGTGGAACAACCTCATTCATGGCCAAGCAATCTTAATTTTTAAACTTCTTGAAAGAATCATAGAATCTTGGAAAAGACCTTTAAGATCATCAAATCCAACCATTAATTCACCACTGCCAAGGCTGCCTTAACTAGAGAGGTCTGAATGACTCCTTCTTTGTCTTGTTCTTATAACTTTTATTGCTCTGTGGTATGTTCTAATTATGTTTTTATGCTCAAGTCAGTAGATTCAGCTGAGAAAAGTGAGTTTGTGCTGGTTTTTGTTTGAGGTTTTTTTCCCTCTTTTCTCACTTTTTCCTTAAAGGCTTTCAGTAGCTGCTGTTGGTTCCTCTGGGTGATTTGGCACAGGCAGTGGTGCAATGGTAAATAAAACCCATCCTGTTCCTACCTGAAGTTTTCTAAAGCTTCTGCTACTTGCCAGAGGCAAAACTGCACATCTCCAGCTTTTGCTTATAGACTATCAACTGGGATTTGTGGGTAGGGTGAGAAAAACAGTTTCTGATACAACCAGAAAAGGTCTTCATACGGAGCTGGAATTTTGCCTGATATATATTTATATTAAAATTTAAAAATGAAAAAAAAAAAAGAAAAAAAAAGCCAGTTCTTGGTTCATTTACAGACACAAGAAAGATGGATCTTAGTCTGTCACTTCACAGCTCAAGCTCTCCTGAATGTTGCGCCAAGTAAAAAATCATCCCTGGGATCCAGGTGTATTCCCTCGTCATTTGTCAGGAGTAACTGTTCTGCAGTTTAGAGCTGGCAGTTCTCAGCGGTGTTTCATCAGGATAATTCCACACTCTGTCATCTGAGGGAATAAACTCTCCCTGCTGACAGGAACTGGGGTGAAGACACCAGCAATTGACTGGATATTACAGAGGCTCTCTGAAGCTTATTCAGTGGAAAAGGGACTATCAGGTCATTGGGCCCAAATTGTGTGTTTGGCTTCAAAAGCTGCGAGGGGCTTACAAAACCTAAGAGGAATCAAAAGCACTGGTCTGTGAGACAAGAGGTCAGGCTGGGCAGTCCCTTCAACCCTTGAAACCTCTCACTGAAATGCTTTAATTAAAAAGGAAAAATAAAAGAAAAATAGATGATAAAATGTGGTATTTTGGCAGTACATGGGTGTTTCAGGTCCCACTCTAATGCCTTCTGAGCTGCTAAAGCAGGGCTACAGCAAGAAAATATCCAGCCTGGTAGCCTTTGTCCTTTTCCTGCTGGGAGCAACCTCTCCAGGGATGGGACAAGTGGTGGTTGGAAAGATGCACGGGCAATGGGGAGTGGAGTCAACGCTTTCCTGGGACCAGCAGTGGTGGTGGCAGTGGGGACTGGTGGTGGCAGAAGGTCATGGGAGGGAGACAAAGACATCACAAGACCTCAGCTCTCACAGGAAGCCAGAAAGCACCAGAGTCCAAAGCCAGAGAGATCAATGAGATCCAGGGAGTTTAACCTGCTGCAGATCTCCTGTTGTCCAATTGAAATTGATTTGATTTCAAGGTACCACATCTCCACAGCCTGCCTGATTTGCTGATTGCTGGGAAATCCTGCAAGCAAAGTAATTTGGCAATGGATGGAGGGCTACAGGGTGAGGGAAAGGCCACAGGAGACGTGGACCAGGATGTGGGCAGGGACTGCAGCATCCCCATCCCTCTGCCTGCCCCAGGCCTGCCCAGCGCTGCACGGATCTTCCTGCGGGAGCACAGGCACCAGGGCAAGGGGACAGGGTGGGTGGCACCTCCACCAAGCCATTCTGAGCTGTGTGAGAAGCCTGACAGGTTGTCCCCTTTCCTCCTGCAGCTCACCAGGGTGCCTGTGGAGTCGTGCAGCCAGTACGAGACCTGCAGCGAGTGCCTGGGCTCGGGGGACCCCCACTGCGGATGGTGTGTGCTTCACAACACGTGAGTACCTGCTGGGCTCTGCCACCACCCCAGCCCCGCCTGCCCCCCTCAGCTGCCTCCTGATAACACAGCTAGAGGGGGGAAATGCTGTCTCAGCCCCTGGCTGAGCCTGTACCTCCAAAAAGTTCTCTGGGACTTGCTGGGGAGAGACTTTGCTTCATTATGAAGGGTTTTTTTGGAAGACGAGGGGAAAGAAGGGTGGTTGAGGTTGGACAGAGCTCCTCCACCGCTTGGTCTACAGTTTGCTGACTGCATTGGCAAAGCAGTCTGGTGTTTTTTGAATTCAACACTCCAGCAGCTCTTCTCTGGGTCACATTTTCCTGGTGGTTTTCCATTCCATTCAAGGGAATTTGCCTCTGACCATTCGCCCTTGTGTCAGCACCTCTAGCTTTCCACTCCTGACCTGAACCTCTCCTCTTCCGGACTCATTGTGATCTCCATCGCCCTTAGAGAGGAGGAATCAGATCCCAGTAAACAACATGGGATCCACTCCAAGGCAGTTTTCATTGGGACTTTATGGTTTAACAGGCCAAGCAAGGCCTCATTCCACTCTTCCATTATTTTGTTGTACTGGTTTATCCACTGCCTCACAAGGAGAACTGGATCCAGGTGTCCTCAGTATTGGGATATCAGTTCATTGGCGTGTTTTTCCTCAGGCTTTTTGATGATGCTGTTGGTCTTGAAGCTGCCTCTGTGCAGCCTTTCCCTGAGTGATCTCCTCCTGCAGAGAGCCCTCTGCCAAAGCCGTGGAGAGGGAGGTGTTGGCTTGGCTGGGCTCCTGGCTCTGAGTGACAGGGAGGTCTGGTTTGCCCAGCCCCTCTCAGCAGAGACAGGGGCAGGGAAGTGCAGTGGACCTGTCTAACCCAGGGTTCCAGCTGAGAGTGGCTCTGCAGGGTGTTGTCACTCCAAGCCTCACGGTGTCCTTGGCAGCCTTGGAGGGTTTTTCTGATGGGCCCTGCTCTTGCTGTGTGTTGGTCTTTTCCCTCTGAATTCACCTGAATTCTTCCTGTTGAGTTGCAAACTCTCCAGGTGGAGACAGGGATCCAGTTGAAGTGATAGACTTTGCTACCTCTCCTTGTGGAACAGAAGGGAACAAACCTGGACCATATTCCAACCTTCTGTCGATGCTCTGAATGCTCTGCTCCTGTCAGCTTGTGTGACCCTCATCCAAAACCACAGCAGTCTGCTTAATTTCAAATCAGATCTGGGGGATCCGTCCCAAAATACGTCCAAAAATGTGGCTCGTGCTCTGGAATTGTTCAAGAGAACCTTGACAAACCAGTCCTGAATTGTGGTGTGGTGGGTAAGAGCCCAGAAAACTTTCATCCTGCTGACCTGAGGATATTTCCTTTTGACACAGAGCTTTGTAGTGTGTTCCCATGCCATTTCAGCCTGTATCCATCCTCCAGGACACCGTGTGTTTGCTGCCAGCAAAGGGACAGCACAGATATGTGCAAGCAGCACAGAAAGGCACGAATTTGTTCACTGATTTTACCACAGCACTGCTGGATATTTCATCTCCTTGCATCCAGGGTCAGTGGCAACAAACAAATCAAAACATGCAGCAATAAATCCCCAAAAGGAGAGAGAAGGGGCACAGGCACCTGCAGAGTGTGCAGCAGCTCATCCTGAGCAGTACTGGGAATGAAATGGAGGGTGATGGGTGGGGCTGTCAGATTCAACTTGGTTAAAAAAAAATCCCTGCACAGGCTCGATTCTTGAGGGAGAAGTGTGGCTGGAGTCTGGACCTGGCTGATGGCAGCGTCCCCGTGCCCTCCTCCCTCTGGCCACTTAACCTCTGGTTCCTTATCTGGAGAAGAGAAACACCTCTTATTTATGTGCCTTTCAGCAGGGTCACCGAGATTGATTCCCTGTGGGGTTTTTTTGAAACATTTTGAAGGCAAATGTTATCAAATCCCACTTCAAGTCTGTTGCTTCCCTCTAGTTTTTCTCACGGTGAAGAAATCTGATTTTCAGTCCTAGTTTGGGAGGGGTTTTCAGTGCAGCCTCAGGTGTTTCTGAGTCTCAGTTTCCTCATCCTTTTGGGCAGCCTTGAGAGCAAAGGAGCCAATTACATCCCACTCAGAAAGTTTTGTCTGCACAGGATGTTCAGGGTGAGGACACTGGAATACTGAGTCTCTAATTAGAAATTTGTGCACATCAGAACCCCTCAAGACTCATTAACAGACTTTTCCTCAACTGGAATACGCCTTCAACAGCTCCTGCGCGAGGGTCCCTGGGGAAAAACGCCATAAACATTTCCCCTCCTGGATCCTAACCCTTCCTTCTTCCCTCCCAGTCAGGAATCCCAGGGGATTCCCAGTGCAGGGCTGAATCCACTGATGTGGAAGGTGTGGAGGAAGCAGCTGGGCTGTGCAAGAGCTGGGGTAGAGTGGGGCTGGGAGGCAGATTTATGGGCAAAGCCACACTGTTCCCTTCTCCTCCTCCAGTACAAACCATCAAGAGGAGCAGTAGTGGGCTGGGGACAGGAGAAAACTGCCCAAAGGGTTACAGCACTGTATTTTTGTCTCTCTTCTTTTGGGATTTTTCCTACAAGGGCTGATGCAACTCCTCTTCCCCAGACCCCCATTTCCAGCCATCCTCAGCTCCCACCACCTGAGAGCTCCAGGGACAGCTCCCATCCGTCTTTTCCCGGCTGAGCTGGGCTGTCTGTGCCGAGGGCGGCGTGCCAGGGCTCGGGAATCGATTTCCACAGCTCTGCTGTCCTAACCTTACACTGAGAAACTCGAGTCCTCTGGGAGAGACAGACAGACCCACAGACGGCTGCGGGAGAGAGGGGGGAGGATGGATTGGCTTCTGTCCCGAGGAGAGGAGCTGATACAGAGCAGGTCACTGGAGCTTTTCATCTCCCTATCTTTACCCCGATCTTGTCCTCCCTCCCTTTCCCAGCTCTGCTCCCTCCCGGGCTCTGCTCAGGCCTCTCTGGGCGGTGATGAATCATTTACTCGGTGTAAATTGAAAATGTGGCTCTGGTGGCTGCGGGGGTCTCTGGGGGAGGGAGAGGGGCAGGGATGGAGCAGTGGGGACGGACCAGCCTGCAGAGCTGGCACTCGGTGCCTGCTGCAAGGTCACAGCAATGTCACCAGCCGGGACAGGGGCTGCAGAAAGGGCTGAGAGCAAAGAGAAGTTTTCTGCAGCCCTGAAATGAATTCAGCAGCTTCCTCCTGTGTCAGATGCAGCACTGTCCAAGGATAACACCCAAATCTGACCACTCTTCTAATCCCCTGGCAAGTCACTCCTGTCTCCTCCATATCCAAACTGTAACCTCCCCCCTCTTCCTTCTTTCCCAGCTTCAGCTACTGAAAAACCTCTCCTTAAATCTAGATTGGATATTTGGAAGAAATTCTTCCATGAGAGGGTGGGGAGGCCCTGGCACAGGGTGCCCAGAGAAGCTGGGGTTACCCCTGGGTCCCTGGAAGTCTCCAAGGCCTGGTTGGATGGGGCTTGGAGCAGCCTGGGACAGAGGAAGGTGTCCCTGCCCATGTCTGGGGTGGAATAGATGATTTTGAGGGTCTCTTCCAACCCAAACCATTCTATTATTCTATGTATGTTCACTAGTCCATCTGCATGTGGTCACCATGCAGGTTTTCAGCCCTGCACATCCCTGGGTCGTGTTTAACACCCCAGCTGCCATAAGAATGGAAATTTGGCGCAGAAAAGCAGCATCCCTATAGAGAAGAGCAACATTTTATTGCAGGGACATCCCCTGCTGTGTGCAAAGTGACCTGTCCCAGGCTCTGCTGCGCTAGTGACACTCCTAGATTTTGGCTTTGCTGCCTCATTTCATCCCATGCAACATCCATCTAACTCCAAGAGGAATAGCTGAACACACACAAGCTGTCCTTAAGGAGGATGCACCCCCAGGCACCAGCCTCCTTCTGCTCTGGAATCTGCCCTTGCAGGCCTGGGGACTCCTTGGCTGGCAGGTCATTAATTGCAATCAGAGAGGGAAACAGTCCCATTTTCTGGGAGAACTTGTGATATTTCAAAACTTTTTTTTTTTCCTCCAGCTCGCAGTGGCCAATTATTTTTTTAATAAGAAATGTTCTTGAAAGCTGTTCTGGAAGGGACTGATTCCATTTAGTAATTGGAGAATGATTCATTTAGACTTTGGAAGCCCTCGTTTTGGGGTTTGATTTCAGTTTTTAGCAAATTGCTTGAGATTTCAAAATAAAAAGTCATTCTGAAAGGAAGCATTAATTTTTTTTTATTTTTATTTTTCCATTAGAATGAAACATTTGAGCATCTGTGATTTCTTTCTCCCCCAGAAGTCTTTACCAGCCCTAGAGACTGAGCAAAGCAGTCAACAAGCGCTGTTGGTTTAGAGGAACTGACATTTGCTGCGGAGGGAAGAGGGATTGTTTAAGCATCTCCAGTCTGTCCTGCTTGGAGATATCGGAGCCAGGAGCTGGGTCTGCTCCCTGCACTCCTCTGCTCAGCTCTGAGGAGCTGCTCGTGTCCTCTGTGTGTCCTTCTGGCACCCAGAGCCTCCCCAAGGCACCCGAGCTGGCTCTGTTGGCTTTGCAGAGCACATGCCAGCAGATCCCGCTGCTCCTGAACCTTGGGAATAGGATCCAGTGGCCTCCTGAAGGCATCCTCACCCTATGGAAGATGCAGTGACAAAAGACTCTCATTTCTGGGCCACAGCAGTCACCTTTCCTGCATCCCTTTGGCACTGGGTAGGTCAGGAGATGCCCAAAATCTCCCACACAGAATTCCTCAGGTGGAATCCAGTGGAGCTGGTCTGGATTAACTGGATCCCTGCTGTTTTGAGACACCTCAGAAGCCATAGGAGAATTTTTTGGTTTCCCAACAAAAAAAACAGGCCCGTTCAGAGGGGATTGATGCCATTCTCTGGCAGCAGACACCCACCCCAGTGTCTGAGAAGTGACCCTCCACATCCTCCTGCTCTCCACCTCCTCCCACTTGTGCGGACAACTCACACACTCCAAAACTACAGCTCTCCTTCCCAACATGAT